CCCCTGGCTCCTTTCTTTTACCAGTTCCATCTACGTGAAGATAAGTCAAAGGTCCTGCTCGACCATTGTTGGCTTCTCTTGGAAGCATGGAGGAAATGATTCCTCTGTGTTGACCCTCCTCTTTATACACTGGACACTGGTTCAAGTCCATCTGGTGGTATTTTATTTTGGTTTTTAAGAATGGGTCAGATCTCTGAGGACACTTGTTCCCCAAGAAATCTCTTGGATCTTTCTGTCTCTTGGAACTGTGCTGATGAAACTGTCTTGGAGTTCCTTCTCTGGAGCTATGATCCTGATTCAGGTCCCACCCACAATTTTAATTTTATTCAAAATTGTTTCTTCAGTTTCAAATGGGGAAGTACAAGCTTGGCTCCACCCTCATCTTAACAGACCATCTTTAGTTCTGGAATATTTCATTCACCCAAGGTCAGTCTTTCTTCCCAATCTTCATTGTGTCCAATGGAGATGGGTGTGCTACTTTTCTGAGCTTTGATATGTTAATTTTCAATAATACTCACATTTGGTCATTCATTCACTCATTATCATTTTGGGTGGAGAACCAAATCAAAATTCCCAAGGAAACAAGATCAGATGTTCAGGTCTCAAGACACAAGTGACCACATGGTTTGACTAGGGTTAACTAAAACTCATTAGTCTAGATTATGTCCATTTATAAAAGTCATTCCCATAACAATGTGTTGTAGTTTTCCATGTTATTAAATAGTAGATTTTAAATGATTTGGGCATAAGAAGGAAAATTGTGTGAGTATAGAAACCATTTATATTTAAATGTTCTACAATATTTTCTTGAATCTCAACTGTTTACTCAAAAACAATGTTATATTAAAGATGTTTACTTTGACTGGTTTGGGGGTGTTTTAATAGCTGTTACACTAGTAGCAGTTGAACTTTCACAGGATTTCTTATTTATCATTAACTGCCCAGCACCCGCTCCCACTGTTGTTCTTATACATGAATTTCTAGCCAATGACTTCTGTTTATTCATATCTCCGTCTTGAATTTCCATTTGAGGTTTTGCTGGTCTACAGTGTCTAGTAGAGGAAATCTTCTCCTTTTAATCTCTTTTTATAATGTATATGTGTATACTTTAAGTAGCTACTATAGTGAGAGGTTTCCATCTGGCTTTTTCTAAAGACTTTGGTGTTAGTGATCCCTCTGCAAACTCCCACCTCCGCCCTGCCCTCTCATTCCCCATCCTATTTAACCCTTCCTACTCTGATATTTTTCCTTTCCCCATTTATATAACTACATTCTACCACCCCTCCCGGAAAGCCTCTCCACCACATGGTCATTTAGTAGTTTCTTGACCTCTCAGTATTTTCAAATCAAAATATATATATATCTAGATTTGAAAGCTAACATCCAGCTACAACAGAGAAGATGTGATATTTGTCTTTCTGGGTCTGAGGTTATCTCACTCGGGATGATTATTTCCAGTTCCATTCATTTACCTGAAAATTCATAAAGAGTTACCTTTTTTAATTTTTTTAAAAAAAATTTTCATATTTTTATTTATTATTTTTATTTTATGTGTATGTGTGTATTGCCCACGTGTAGGTAAGTGCGCCCGTGTCGGGCA